CACAATAGATAATCCAATTTTTAGGGAGTTATTTTGGCACACACAATGGGATATTGGGAACCCTTTTACCCAGAAGCGGTCTCAGAATTACTACATATTGTGCAACAATTAGTAATTTATTTGCTATGGGATGCCTAAACCACCTTTTCCCCAAAAGTTATGAGGCTTTTTCTCCCACCCACCCTCCCTTACTTTTGTGCCCCCCAGTCTTGTTTTAACTCGCTCATGCCACGTCAGTTCCGGGAGGAACCTGGCAAGGGGGAGGTAATGTAGGATACAGCGAGTATGTACGAGCTTATCTGAAGACGTGCACATAAGAAGTGCAGCACTCAAAGATATATAGCGAGTACCGAGCGCATGTCCTATTCGAAGAGTCGAGAAGGATCTGTGAAGCAATTAGGATCACATGTCTGAAGACGAGCGTGAGCAAGTCAAGGATGATCCAAGCAGCGTCAAAGGATCACATTTTCAAACCTTCCATTTTTTCAACTTTTGCCTACATAGCATGCCAACCTAAAGGGCAATCGAGAGACCATTGCCAACAAGTATGAACAGTGTTGGGGAACGCATCTACTTGCATACAACAATGCAAATATGGCAGCTATTCTATATAAAATCCTAAAAAGTCATAGGCAACCTTTTGGGTACAAGACACAATCTTTGGAACAGCCCTCTGACCAAGGGCATCCTATCATTTAGCAGCTTTGAGCACCACCATAGACCTGGGCAAGTCAACCAAAACTGCGCCACTATGGCAGCTATGAGCGCCAACACAATGACGTCATTCATGATCACGATCGATCAGAAAGTCTATCTCAACTCAAATCACAGATCAACCACGATCACGATCGATTCAATCAATTAAATGATGTCATACTCAGACATGTGACTAGGGACATCACGCCACCTTCCAACGCCACATGATTACATCAGCATAGATTATGTAATAAAGAACACATACTGGTCAAGATTCGAACCTGATACTTCACCGCCCCCATGGCATAGTGGCAAGCAGCATGGGGGCAAGCAAGTGGACGATTACAACCGACGACCGTGTTCGATAACCGATGAAGCCCTCAATTGGAACCAGTATCCAGAGTGATAACTGAAGGGCCGTGGCAGGGCCTTAAATGTCTCTTTTTACAAATCATGCATTTTGAACGTCATTAAACTGTTTACATTTTGGCAGCTTTGAGCACCACGAATGACCAAGTGCATGTCTTTAAACTGCAAGCCCTTTTGCACACTATCTTGGGCAACAGCAGCCAATAGCGCTGTCTGTGACATCAGACATCTAGGACCAAGAACTGTTAGCCCCACAAGTGCACCATTTACCTGAGCAAGTCATTAAACTGCATCACCCCTTTTTGCTGCTAGCAAAAGTCTTAGATGCCATTCACACAACACACCCTGCCATTCCACCCTGGAAGTCAGAACCTGAAGCGAGGGTACTATTTACCATAGCATTTATTCAGTTTATCCAGAGTCTGAACCTTGAAGCGAGGGTAGTGTCACAGTATTAAGTGGCACCTTTCTTTTTGCACCATTAAAAGTCCTCATTTGAGTGGTTATTCGGACGCCAACCTTCATATTGGTCTCGCAACGTGGATACTTGGACAAACAGTGTAATGTCGCCATATACATTGTGGATATGACTGTGTCTACTGCATGACCACCAAGTGCCCATGATTCAGCCACCCAGTCACGTGACACTGGCCACTTGCCCTATTCAGAAGTTGTCAGGTGTTGGTCACGTGACACCAGGCCACTTGCCCAGAATGGAACCCATTGGACCATCAAGCTAGCAAGCACCCAATTCGTCACTCAAGATAGTGGCACCACTTTGCTGCCTAAACCAATAGGCAGATACCACAA